AAAAAAAAAAAAAAAAAAGAAAAAAAAAAAAAATAATAATAAAATAAAATAATGGAAAAAAATAAACAGTAATAAAGTGATAAAAATAAAAACATATATATTTAAATTAAATATACAAAAATATATATATATATATATATATATATATATATTATTTTTCAAATAAACTAATTATAAAATAACATAAAAAAATCTTTTAAATTTATCGCAAAAATTGATAAGATTATTGAAAAAGTTAAAAAAATATATTTTGTTCTTCCATATTGTTTAAAAAATGGCATTAAAATATATGCAACTAATATAGATATTACAATTTGCGTTTTTGTTGTTCTCTTGAGAATGTTATAAATTTTATAAAGCAAAGTTGTCTTTACATTATATAAACAATTAATGTTGAATGGAACGCAGTACTTTGGTATTTTTTCAAAATTTAATATTTCTATATCTTTGTATATTTTGGAAAGGAAGGAAACGTCATCTTTCTTCTGAGAATAATCGCTTAAATTTTTAATTTCATTAATGACAGCAAAGGAATTCGATGAAAAATCAAGGAAAAACGAATCATATTTATTAATAGTACTTTCATTTATAAACTTCATAAAATTTTTTGTTAAATTCTTTTTTAATACATATACTGGTTGAATAAAAAATTGTTCATCGATTTCTTCGTTTCCTAATTTTGCTACGAATTGATTATAAGAACTATTTATATGTTGATAACATTTTTTTATATAATTTAAAGTTTGTTCATCTTCTATACTATCAATAAAAATTACATAACAGTAGGTATGTCTTGAACCTACAGTTGAACAAATTGAATCAACATTATTTGAATTGATCTCTACAAAATTTTTTTTTAAAGAATCATAATATACATTCTTAATATTATTTGGAGAAATTCTTCTTATTACATTTACTTGATTACTGTTAACCAATAAAAAATAATCCAAATTTTCATTTTCTTTTATATACTCATCTTTTTTAATACTTAACACTTTCAATGAATCTATTATTGATTTTTTTAAAGTATCATTCGTAATGCTTCCAATTTCATCATATTTAATAGCATAAGTAGGATAAGTATTATTAAATTTATAAGATACTTGTTTGACCTGCAAACTTAGTTTTGTTTTATTTGTTAATAATATTACTTTGTGATTTTTATCCACATATGTTTGTTTAACTTTATATTCATCTTTATTTTGAAAAGATTTATTAAAAAATATAATATTAAATATATAATTAGGATAATTATTTAAAATAAAATTTTGAAAATCTTTAGAAGTTGCGTTAAAAATGTTTGAATATAGTTGATAAGAACCATCAGGAGATAAAATAAAAATAGTAGGATATATTTTAACATTAAAAGGAATTTTTTTTTTTACTAATTTTTTATCAGTTGATATATTTATTCTACCAAATTTTATATATTCATGATATTTATCAAAACTTTCTTCCCATATTTTTGAAAAACTTAGACATAAGCTATCTGTATCTGAATAAATTTGAATAATCCAGTAATCATTGGAGTTTTCAACTAAATCTATAAAATTTTTCTCATTTAGATTTATACTATTTGATTCAATTAATTTTAATACTTTTCCTCTAGAATTATCATATGCCTTTTTCAATCTAGAATCTGATAGTGTTTTATATGCTTTTGTTATTTCTTGAAACTTCTTTTCACAATCTTTACAATTTTTGTTACTATCTGGATGATACAATTTAGATAAGTCACGATAATTCTTTTTTATTTTTTGAACATCATCACCTCTTTTGCATTTCAAAACCTCATAATAATCAAAAGTATCCTCATCTTCAAGATAAGATTCAATAGAATACTTTTCTTCAAGATATTTAAAGGATATCAGAAGAATGAATGATAAAATAATGAGTATTATTACTATATTATCTACTAAAAATTTTATTTTATTTTTATAAATTCCAACCTTTTTAGTAGTATTTATTTTCTTTTCCTTATTCACATTTTTTTTTTTATCGTTCTTTTTCTTTTCTTTACTAAAATCATTTACTTTTTCTTCATTTTTCTTTTCTTTTCTCTTAGATTTTCCTCTAGAAGTTGATGAACTTAACTCTGAATCAACATTATTTTCACTTAAAGTTTTTTTCATATTTCACTAAAGCCCATATATGTATATGACAACACCAAATAAAAAAATATTTCAAATTAAATATTTATTTAAAAGCATGTATATATAAATATATATATATATATTTATGTTAACATATATAATAGATTCTACAAAAAAAAAAGGAAAATTACAAAAATAAAAAAGAAAATAGAGAAAAAAAAAAAAAAAAAAAAAAAAATAAAAAAAAAATTAAAAATAAAAAAAAAAAAAAAAAAAAAAAAT